ACATATTTCAAAGAAATCACAGCAGCTGAATAACAAACATTATTATTTTACATTATTATGCCATCAAACATAACATTACAGAATATGTCTGGCCTTTTATAATGCTAAATATCTGCTACAGATCATTGACTGCAAAGCATTTATTGTGATTTAAGTTAAATTACTTTATACGTTATAATAAGTAGGTTAATTGGAAAAATGAGTAAATGATAGCACTTTAAAAATGAGACTAGTTAAAAAAAAACGTGTTAACACGTAAATTACGTGTTAACACGCAATTACGCGTTAACACGTTTGTTGCAGACGTTTTGGCCCCAACGGCCTTCCATAGTTTTTTGGCGCACGTCAGCGTGACATCAGAGCGAGGCGAAGGCAAGGCGGACACATTCCTAACCGGCATGCATCTTGCGGTGATCACCGGTGATCGATTCTGCGCAGATTTTGACCAAGTCAAACGAGCCTATTGTCATCCATGATTTTCCCTGTCCTTCGTCTTTCGGGAGATCGTGGTCATTAAAGTAAGAGTGTCGTTTTTGAGTTGGAGCAGCTGGGAACGCAGCAATCACAACGATGAGATGACCCTGCCATTCTTTCTTGCTCCGTCGCATTGAAACCGGATGTTGTGGTACACTGCTTCGCTTACCGGAACCAGGAAGTGTGAAAAAGGCCTATTCTACTGCATCCCAGAATAACACACAGCACCAAAAAATGTACAAAAAAATATATTCAGTATATTTAATATGTTTTTGTCCTCAACTCGCCGTCACGCCTGACGGAGATTCCCTAGCCTGTTTGGCCAATCAGAGGGGTGCTTTCCTCAGCACTCACCATGACAACGCGACTCCCAGCAGTGACGTCGCCATGTAAACATTAGGCTCGTTTGACTTGGCCAAAATCTGCGCAGAATCGATCAACGGTGATCATCGCAAGGTGCATGCCGGTTAGAAATGTGTCCGCCTTGCCTTCGCCTCGCTCTGATGTCACGCTGACGTGCGCCAAAAAACTCTCGCGATCGCGAGGCGGGTACCTCGGATGGAGCAGTCGGCCGCAGTTGCTCTCAAAAGACTGCGTTACCAAAAGCATGATGGGAAACGACTGGCTGACGACACAGCTTAATGCTGATTGAATGAGACTGACACATTACACTTTTTCTTGTTTACTAAGGTTTATACCTGGATTTGTTGAATACCTTTTTTTTTTTTGTATTTTCGTTGATAATTAAAAAAAAGTCAGAAAGAGCATTACATATGGTTATTTATTTAGATTTACACACAAACAAAAACAAAACACATCTTTGTAAAACATAACGTGACCTATCCAATATAACTAAATGTTACTAATAAATCATTAGGATGTGTGTGTGCTGTATTTTATTTCTCTTTCAGTTTTAAGTCCTGTTTGTTGTCATTTTCACTTTTTGTATGTTTGTGTGAATTTTGTATTGTAATTTTTATGCAGCATTATTCCATTAAAGTCAATCCAATATATACATATATTCAGACATACAAAGGTAATCATACTGTTTTGTCATTATGCCTCATCTTTGTGTGGTTTCATATGAGAAGTGAAAAGGGTGTAGTAAACAAGACACACACACATATGTATGTATGTATATATATATATATATATATATATATATATGTATGTAGGCTATGTGAAGTCAAAAGTAATGTTTAATAGACCAAGAATATTTTCACAGTTTTTCCTACAGTCTAATAGTTTTTATTCTGGAGAAAGTCTTGGGCTGTTTATTTTAGTCTGGCTGGAGTAATATCAGTTTATATAGACCTAATAAGCTTGTCAATATAATTAACCCCCTAAGAATTTATTTGTCAAACAAACATTTGTCATGACCCGTCACTCAAAAGCATCTTGCTATGGCTACTTCTATTATAATATAGCCAAATTAGGTTTCTTGAAAGTTTTCTTGCTGTATAAGCTGTTTATTTTGTTATTCTTTTAACGTTTGTTGAATATACAGAATTACATTTTAAATACACCCTTTTACTTAATGAGCTGTTCATCTTCTGTAATTCTGAACCATTTTCTTTTTTTTTTTGTAAAAACTGTGATATTTCTATTGCATCTACTCCCATATTAAAAATACTATAGTAATGTATACTGTAGTGCTTTTGAACCATGTTATAAAATAGCCTATTTAAGTTTTATAGTTGCTCTGGTATCACAACAACTATAAACACAACCCAATACTGTAAAAACATGTTCAAAATGCTATAATATTTACTATAAATCACCATAGTATTTTTTCATGAGGTCATTCGTCTGCGATAAAAAACGCGAACGAGATCTCCGCCACTGGTGACGTTTCCAGGTGGCTAAACAGCGAGATTCAGCAGGTGTCCGACTTCTGATGTAATTTTTGAGCCCTCCTCTTATTGCGCACGCCTGCTCTCGTTTACAATGCAGTCAAGGCGAGGCGCACCTCAAACGAGCCTATTTGCATATGCATTCCTATAAAGCTCGGCGGTTCTCGCTCGGTGCTGTCAGTTCTCTCGGTGTCGCTCTTTGTACTTGACCAAGGTAAGTTCAAAATAAACTTGTCTTTCTCAACACCTGTCTCGTGTTTTATTTGTCATGTACAGCAATACACTGTCATACAGGTCTGTTGAATGCATTTGTACGCAACGTGGTTTGACAATAAAGTAGTCTAACAATATTTTACAGTCTATGGTCTCGACCCTTTTACAGACGCTTTTCATTAACCAAACAAACATCACATATTTCTAAAAAAAAAAAAAAAAAAAAAAAAACTGCGATAATAGGCGTAAACCAGGTTTAAAATATTGCGTTATTATACAGCGTCTGCTATCCTATGGAACAAATGAAATAAAATAAAAATGAATAAAAATACTGCGTCTGGTACCCTGTGTCAATAACAACAACAACAATAATAATATTAATCAAAATACTGCGTCTGGTACTGTGGCTATAATAATATTTAATAAAAATAAATTTTACAAAGCGTAGCATCGGGTACACTATGGCAAAATAAATCGTGCTATAGAGACACGAAAATGATTTCCTTTTGAAATACATTGGTTGGAAATTCGTGCAGGGTGACACGAAAAAAGAGGGAAATTTGTGCCCATGAACACGAATCAATTGATTAAATTTCGTGACTATTTCACGAACTGCCGTGAGACTGGGTTGGAATAATCAGAGGGGTAAATGAGTTAGTGTAACAGACAGTAATGAGTGAAAACCTGGGGACCGAATTAAAATGTGTATTTTATCAAAACATTATGATTTTTTTTCCTTTTAAAAACAGAAAGTCATTGATTGGATATAAAACTGCATGTAAATGCAATAAAAAATAATAATAATAATAAAATGAATTTAGAAAGGATTGTAAACAATACATTCTAGCAAATTATAGAAGCAAGGAGTGGGGACATGCAACGACTGCTATTTTTAGTGTTCTACATAGTTTTTAAAACTGATTTTAATTATATATTCAAAATTTTGCAGTTTGTTAAATGTGATGAACTTTGATTATAACTCAAATGTATTTTAAAGTTCATTTTCATGCATTTTTATACATTTAATATTTTGAGGACAGAAATGGTAACCATTCAGTGGATTGTCCCCGATACATTTATTATAAATAAATAACTTAAAGGTAATATCTTTACATCAAAGGTGATTTTGCATTTAATAATATCCATGCTGTGTAGATACTGGTTAGGCTGTACTCTGGTTTGTGTAACATTAACAAGATTCCAGATAAAATTCTAATGTAATCAGATTACAGTAACTTGCTATGGATTACATATTCTCACTAAGGCAGTGAATTATTAATACTTCTTATCAGTGTTTATATTTATATTACATACATATTGTGGTCTGTTGTTTATATCCTACAGGAAAGTACTAGTTTTCAAAGCAATGTCTATTTAAAAATCTCATAATGAAAGTTTTAATGCATACCATGTTGTAGAAAATAAATGGTGTATATATTTTGTTGTTTTCAATTAATAGTTATTTGTTTGCGCAAACTGTAAAACTAATGATGACATTTAGTCCAAATTTAAAATAATTGTTTTTTTCCCAACTTAGGAAAACTCTGAGGAAAGGTGATGATGCACTTCATATATATATATATATATATATATATATATATATATATATATATATATATATATATATATTGGATTATGATATAAAATAATGCATGAACATGTGATATCAAATATTGAATGTAATGTACAAGTAATCTGATTTTCATGCAGTAGGATAGACGTTGATTGAAAACAACAGTACTGTAAATAATAAACTTCCATACGATAAATAAAATATAAATTAGGCTATGATAATTTGAACAATTCTTTTATAAATTTGTAAAAGGCACAATTGCTCTTAAATATTGTACATAGTAAGAGGATACCTTCCATTCATAGAAATAACCTAAAATCACTCGTCTGCTACAAAAAAAGTACAGTAAATCAACTACAAAGTAAAAATAAAATAAAAAAGTACATTTAAAATATATATATCATACATAATACATGGTTCCCACTTTAAACCAAATATCAAATTCACTAAAAAGCTGAATTTCCATAACATCTAATGAATGAAAAAACAGGCTGGTGTGCTGAAAATGAAGTCTAAATAATATAACATTTATATCATGACTTTAGCTTCACTACTGAGCATGATTTTAATAGCCATGAGAACAATAATGAGTTATTTTCTAATTTATTTACTAATTACTAATTTGATTTATGGATAATTATATAATTTAATTCATGGCTGCAAATCGTTCCCATTCCTATACATATAAATTTATAGCTCAATAGTAGTTTCACAAACTTACTTGAATTTACCTTTTGTGGTGTACTTTGAAAGTGGGAAAAATAAAATAAATGTAAAGTAAAATTTAAAGCAACAAACAAAAATCACAAACATTAGATTTCAAAAATACTTCCAATTTAATTATACAAGCATAATTGTCATGATAATAAAACAGACAAGTGAACATACAAAAAAAAAAAAAAACTTTTTTGATCATCATCAAAGTTATGCATACACAAACACAAAGAGGAAATGAAATAGATTTGGCAGCAACTAATTACAAGCTCCCTGACCTTTCCCAGCGATCTTTTTTGAACACTCTAAGAGAGCGTTATGGATGTCTTTAGCACATGAAATCTGTGATTTGATCATACTGAGATACTGAGAGTAAGACAGAGATTCTGTTTGCACCGTGTCGGGTTTAGTGGCTGTGGGTACGAGATTTGGAGAGTGTTTCGTGCTGTCGATGCTCTGTGAGAGGCATTCATGGGCCAGCCGCTGCAAAGGAAAAAAAGAAGAACTGTTTTAAAAGTGCTGATTTAAACTGAAATCTGCAAGATTGTACAACAGAAACACAACAGCAGATCTTTACCAGGCAGAGCTCCAGCTGATCACAGAGAGCATAAAACTCCTCTAGACTTTTGTCAAACCGCTGAACTGCGGCATCATTACCCTTCCTACAATTTGAGAGATGAAATATACATTTGATAAAATAAACAAGCAAAACTATTTCTTTATACATGGGTCAAAGAATAAAAGAGATTTTCATATATATTATTTATACAAAAAATAATAATAATTCAACTGTGTGTGCGTACACACACACACACACACACACACACATTTATACAGCTGAAGTCAAAATTATTAGCCCTCTTTTGATATTTTTGGTTCTTTTTTTTTATATTTCCCAAATTTTGTTTAACAGAGCAAGGAAATTTTAACAGTATGTCTGATAATATTTTTTCTTCTGGAGAAAGCCTTATTTGTTTTATTTTGGCAAGAATTTTTTATTTTTTTTAAATCATTGTAAGGTCAAAATTATTAGCCCCTTTAAGCTAGTTTTTTTTTTTTTTTTCGATAGTCTACAGAACAAACCATCGTCATACAATAACTTGGCTAACTACCTTAACCTGCCTAGTTAACCTTATTAACCTAGTTAAGCTTTTAAAGGGTCATGACCCCCCACTTTCGGTTCAGGTCTACCTCAGAATTGTTTCAAAAGATGCTTCATAATGGGCGTGGAGCTCTGCGAGCAATGGGAGGAAGTGGGCGTGGTCAGCAGGGGAGAAGTTGGTTCACAAAATGAGACCCAAACCATGAAAAGACGCATTACTTTATAGTTTACAAAGGTAAAATGCAAAGTAATTTAATGCAATGCTACATTTGTTATTCGTAATTTCATATACACACAACCACAATTTATATCATTATAAAGATAAATGTGTTTATATAAACATTAAAAATGAGGACTTCTCCCTCAAACCCCGGGTCTGAATGCAGACTCAGTGCTGCAGGTCTCTTGCTCTGTCTATTTAAACCATTAGCCCTGTTAGTAATCTAGACGATTTAGGCAAACACAGCAGCACGGCGATGTGTCTAAATGTGAACGAACTCCTGACAAAAAACAACGTCCGCCATTCTCCAATTCTCGTACTGCTCTCCCGACAAAAATGCTTGCTGCACACAAACAGCAATGCTGTATCGGCCCTGACAGCATCGCGGGGAAAACCATGCAACAAACCCCATGGATCATGGAAACAAACTATAACACATACGACCCTTCATGAACAGCTAAATACTGTGTGCCATGGGTCCGTGGACGCAGCCTCACACAGTCATCAACATGTCTCACAGTTGCCAGGTCTGCCTTGCCTCCGGAAAGCATGTGCAGTCATGAATAATTAATAAGCCAGCACTTCTTATAGGAAAAGAAAACTCCGTTATGAATAATAATGAGAAACCAACACGTCACCTTTGCACTTGTAGTTTTGCGCTACGTCGCCGATTTTGATCTGCCCCAAAAATCATTTTAAACCCGGAATCAGAAATTAACTGAAAAAAAGCTCAAAATTATCCAGTTTTCCCCACAATTACAGCTAACAGGTGCTAACAATAGCGCCTTTCACACAGTGATACCGGTAAATATCCAGAAAATTTCCGGATCGACTTTACCGGTAAATCCAAAAAAGCGCTGTTCACACAGGCGAGGACGCTACAGATTTTTTCCGGAAAAGAGCATTCACACATCCATCGCAAAATGCCGGTAAATTCTGACATCATTAACCAGAAATGACCTCTAAACGGCTGCGCTTGTGTTTGTAAACATTTGACTACATTACAAACTCTTTGGATGAATCAGTATTGAGTACAACTCCAATGAAAACATATAGAGGAACACTTTCGCATGTCCAGATGTTCATGATATGTGTGTGTGCTGGCGCTATGGGCGCTCACGGGCACACGCAAAGCTTGAAGGTAAACAAACAATGGATTATCATAAACATTTTATCGATAATTATTTACTCAGTTAGCATTAAGAAGGAACATAGAAACGTTATCTGACTAACATCTAGCAGCTAAAGGTGTCTGGAAAAATATTCAAAGGCTTTTATTCTCTGTTCTAATTGGCTGAAGCAGGTGTCTCTATCAGCACGTTCTAGACGTGGACGCGCTCTTTCCGGCAATCTTCCTTCTGCATTCACACAGCGCAGCATTCCGGCAAATTACCGGCAATGTTACAACTTCTCTTTCCGGAAAATAGCCAGAACGAATTTACCGGTATTTTTAAAAAGGGCCTGTTCACACATACAACCTTTCCGGAAAATCCCGGTAATTTTCCGGAAAGGTCTGTATGTGTGAAAGGGGCTATTGTCTTAACCGATGCTTAACACACACAAATCTGTTCAAATCTCAAAAAAAGCACTCGTGGGTTTCGTGAACCTTTAAATGTCACTTTAAGCTGTATAGAAGTGTCTTGAAAAATATCTAGTCAAGTATTATTTACTATCATTATGACAAAGATAAAATAAATCAATATTAGATTTAGATCGCTATTTGAAATGAGTTATTATAACCAATATGTTTAGAAATGTGTTGAAAAAAAATCTCTCCGTTAAACAGAAATTGGGGAAATAAATTTAACAGCGGGGCTAATAGTTCAGGGGGGGCTAATAATTCTGACTTCAACTGTATATATATATATATATATATATATATATATATATATATATATATATATATATATATATATAATAACAACAACTAAAATGTCATTATAAAAGCAGTATTTTATTGCCAAACAAATTAGGCATAATTAAAAAAAAAGTTAAATGTTTAATAATGACAGTGAAGCCACAAAACAATAATGTTAATATGAACCTGCAATTTTGAGTCTTTATACCATTACACAATCCTTTACACCACCTGTCAATAAGTTTATGATCATTATTTTTTTTTAATGTTATGATCAGTCATTTGTTCACATTTGTTTTCAGTAAGTACAAATCAGATCAAGTATGTTTAATTTTTACATGTGAAAGAAAAATGGAACATTTAATTCATTTCACATTTACTAAATTAAAACAAAGTTAAGGTAAAAGTTAAGACCCCTTGTTACAAGTGTTCAATGTATAGTAATTACAACTAATTATGCATAATTACATGCAACTAACCCCAACCATATATAGTAAGTACGTGTAATTAAATAATTAAAAACACTCAGTTAAATTAACAGTTACGCTGTAACAAGGACGAAAAGGAAAACAAAATCTCGAGATTTAAAGTTTGAAGTTTATTTCTTCTGTTGAACATAAAAGAAGATATTTTTTAAAAAAATTCCAGCATTCTTTGAAAATATCTTCTTTTGAGTTCGACCAAAAAAAAAGAAAAGACAAACAGGTTTGGACCAAGTGAAGCATGAGTAGATAGTGACAGAATTTTCGGTTTTGGGTGAACTATCCCTTTATTTCACAAAATATGATTTCATCCAGAAACCATATCGTCTTTGGTCCACATATTCATATACCATACTGTATACTTCACACAAGATCAGGAAATGTTAACTACAATGAAAGATGAAAAGAAACACTTACTCGGTTGTTTTTAAGCCGTTGTCAATAGCAGTATTATGTGCAAAATTTAGAGACGCGATGGTCATGACATTCTGAAAACCAAACATTGCAAATAAACGTTAGTACTGTACTTATAACAGACCAGGTCATATTATGCTTATAACAGAATGCACCAAATGAACCTGTAGACTGTCTTTGAGCGGTGGAATTAGCATCTTGAATCTGTGAACGGGGTCGAAATCTTGCTGTTGACTGAGTTGTTGAGCTTGTGTTTGCTGTAAAACTGCCGCTTGCTGAGCGCTCATCTGAGCATTGTTAGTGCTCATCTGCTGGGACGCCATTGCTGATATGAATAATAAACTCGTCCACTTCCGCTAGATGCTAGTCTGCAACGGATATGAACGTATTATACGGTGTCAATAGACTCACCGCGTTCAAATCTGTTTGCGCACTAAAACGTGTGGTCTTACATAATTTATTCATATTAATGACGGTTACGTAATCCTAGTAATTAATTTCAGTTAATTTAGGACATTATCTTTAACAATTCCGCCCTAGTAAGTGCGAAAACTTGGTTTTACTAAACAGCGCTGAGAAAAGGAACTAAACCCACGTGATGTGCGGTGTCTCAAATAGCCGAATGGTATTTTAATTCTGTAGGTTTTGATCTTACATGTAATATCTACAGGACTTATTATATAATGTCAAGATTTAGACCATAAATAATAAAACGAATAACGTTTTCATCTGATAAATTTAGCCACTATAAACCGCCAGGAGTGGAAATTGGTTGAAATTAAATGGCTCCATCTGGTGGAAATTCACAATATTTTTTGTATTATTTTGTTTGCTAACTAAATGTATTTTATTTCAAATAAATGCTCACTAAAGAAGATATTTTGACGTGTGTTGGAAGCCAGTTACAAGTATGCCTATTTGTTTTTCCTACTGGATGTCAGTGGTTTAGCGTTTGAAACATTTGTTAAAATATTTTCTTTTGTATTCAGCAGAAGAAGAAAATTCCACTCGAGGGAGAATAAATTATTAATATTATTTATTTGTGAAATTAATGTTTTATATGTGGGCAAATTATATTTTAAGTATAATCTCTACAGCAGTATAAGAAAATAAAGAATAGCTATTTAAGAGACATTCTACCGGAAACCTGCATCATCTGTCCCTGAAATAAAAACATAAATACAGTAAATAAAAAAGTAGTTCATCACAAAAACGTATAAAATAGTCTGATGGTTGATTTCTGTGAGCTGTTCTGTAAAGGAATATGTCATTCATTTGGTTCTCTTTTTTTCTTTTTTCTTTATTAAAAACACTTTTCAAATGTACAAACCCTGTCATTGTCCTTGTCCTTTAATAGTTTTGTAATGTTAAAAAGTTAGGGAAAAAAACTTGGAAAATAGCTAGAAATAGCTAGTTTAATTTGTTATCATTCACATCAGTTGATTAAAAACATGATCATGGTCATTTATAAATAAGTCTACAAATAAATATCACAAATAAATGTACATTGTCCCCATTTCTATCAGTTCTGTCACATTTGAATCAACTTTAACATTAATACCCGTTTAAGGCTATGACTCGGAAGTGATTTCATTTGACGGAGAAGAAGCTGACAGTGATCAAGGATGCATTCTATCATTGAATTGTATGTTTTTATGCTCGTTTTTGTATGACTTATTTGAGGGCAACAAGCTTAAGTCAGGCCCTGTCGTTAGAAGTGAAAATTAATATCCTGGTAGAATGTCCCATAAATAGCCTTAATAATGATAATAATAATAAGAATAATGATAATAATAATAATACAGCATTAAATAATTATTTGGACTAATGTTACATGCTTGATAAGCAGTGTTCAATACAAATCGTATTATACATAAACTCAAATAATCATACGTATAAACTCAAACTTTAGTTTAAGGTTTCTCTGAAGTTGTAAGGTATTACCAAATTATTTAAGATAATATGACCAGCACAGAGTGAGCTAGGCAAACTAACTTGAGTATGTATATAACAAGGTTTAGAAACATTTCCATGCACATGCTAGCATTAAAACATTTAAGCATATGCTAGTAGCCATATTAATTATATAGAGAGAAAAGTTGTGCCAAATATCCTAAAGCTTTTGTAGATATAGCTCAGCATTACATTTATGAACATTTACCATAACATAAGTACATCTCTGGCTGTTTTTATTTTATCAAGGTTTATTTAAAATAGAACAACCCTGATTTAAATTTCAGTTTTGTTAATGAGAAAACCCATCATTGGATGACAATGTATCCCACTGTTATTGGTACTATGCTTTTCCATGACATTCCAAAGACAGGTGAATTGTATTAATTACATTTTTTTAAAGTGTGAATGGATGTTTCTGGGTTGCAGCTGGAAGGGTATCTGCTGTGTAAAACATGCTGGAGTGGTTGGCGGTTCATTCCGCTATGGCGAACCCTGGAATAAAGACTAAACGAAAAAGGAATGAATTTCGCCAATTCCCAACCCACAAAGTTTCAACCATTTATATATTTTTTGACTCAGTCAAATGTTAATTTTGTTTTGAACTTGACTAAGCACCTCCAGATGTAGCCTATTTTTACCAGACTTTTTAAAGATCTAATACACTCTATTAAAAACGACGTGAAAAAGCACAAGTCATAATAGCCAGAGAAATGTAAACTTTAACAGTTGATCAAAACAATCAGTGCAGATGGTTTATTTAACCGAACTGTTCAAAAGAACCGACTCCCATACATGAATCGAGCTTTCAATTATCGCAGAACACGATAGAAAACAAAGTTTAGTTGAAAACAAAGTCACTTCAATTCATTACTCAAACATTACGTTCACATCTACCGAACTCGATTTTTGTGTCAATCAATAAACTGAATAGATAACGAGAAAAGAGCGCATTTGAATTATACACCGCACCATCCCGACTCGTTTAGAGAGGAAGTTGTCTCGCTAACCCGGATGTACACAAAACAACGTGACGGGGATTTGCACGTGTGAGAGAGCGGAGAAATGTAAGTAGTTACTGCATAAATAAATGTAAAATTATTTGTTTTCTAGGCCTAACTTACTATATACTTTTTGAGGAGTGTGAAAATCCATTTCAGCCAACAGCACGTTATAGTTTATAATCTGACAATGCAGACACTTAAGTTATATATGTCAACTGTTAATTAAGTATAGTAAGTGTTTATCTCACATTAACAGCGTTTACAAACATGTTTGCTGAAGAGGACTGGACTGATTCTCCATCACTAAATGGATCCCCTCTGTCTGCTAAATTGTCTCCTGCATCTGGCAAGGTATTGTGTGGTTTTTCTTTTTGGTCATTTTCATCTAATTGAATGGGATGGATCTCCTAAAAAATTAACATTATCTGCCTCCTTGCTGTTTCCTCACTAGAACATTTTTTTTTTTTTACAAACCAGGGTGCTTACTTATAAAAAAAAAAAAAAAATAAATAAATCTCATGCAGGTTTGCCAGCAATGACACAATTAGAAATGTATATCCAAAAAAAAATTCACATAGAAAGAATAAGTAAAAATAAATGTACTATAATGCTACACTAATTATGACAATATGACACATTTAAGCTTGAAAACCCTGAATTAATTTATTTTTTAAAAAGGTAAAGTATTAATTAACTCCCTGATAGAAAAGTCCTGGAATGTTTTCAACAAAAACCTTTATTTGTTTTCAGAAAAAGGACAGTTGAAAAGTAACTTTTTGACAAGAGGTGAGAAAAAGTTACATTTGTAATAACTAATGTGATTTTTTTATTTTTATTTTTTTGCAATATTTTAACTATAAATCACTTTGCATTCATAAATCTATATTCACCAAGTTGGCTCAGTCAGATTTAAAATGCAGTTCTACCCCAAAACTAAAGTGTCACATAGGCTTTAAATTATTATTTTAATTTAAAGCAATGACAATTGTAAAGTTGCTTAAATATTGTTACATACTTACCTTTATGAAAATGTCGAGAGCAAACGCACTTAAACGGAGATATGGTGGCAAAAGTATATTTTTGCATCTCATTTCTGTAACCCTGGACATCACATGCATCTGTTACCTGTTACTGTCTATATCCTTTGTTCCAAGTCAGAAGTTTAAAATATCTGTCATTTTGATAAATTTATTTCCCTTTTTTATGGTGTGTTTACTATTCAAACCTTCACAGAGCAAGAATGTACCACTGTATTTACTTTGCGAAAGAATCTAAATCCATATAACAGCTATTGTTATATGACCTGGATACCCCACAAATGGCGGCTAGACCCATAATACAACTTGGTGTTCACTAGGGTGATGTCACCTGACAAAGACCGATAAATGCAAATTCAATTTGGCATCAAAACTTTGACCTCCATTCGACATCCACACATTGATGCGCTTTGACCATCAAAATAATGACACAATATTATAATATAATAAAAGTTCAAATTTCATAATGACACTGGATTTTGCACTACTACAGTGCAGGTAATCTACCTTGACAAATGTACATGTAACCTTGCATCGAAAAACAATTACAGGGCAGTCCTGTTATTGTTTTTTAATACCAGTGTTAGCTGTCAATATGATGTCGTTTTGGCATTAAGGTTGTCAACTGACAATTTTAATGAACTTTTTTATCCTTTTTTGTGTCATTTTTGGCATCAAGGTGCCTGCTTGGAAAATAATAACAATTAAGCAAAACAAAATTAAAATTAATATCTGTGCCTCCTGAAATTAATTGATCATCCGCGCAAGAAAGCAAACAGTTTTTACAACATTATTATCACATAATTCACTAGGCATAGGCCGGTATAAGATTCTGACGGTATGATAACCTTGGATAAAAATATCACAGATTCACAGTATCACAGTATTGTGCTCACTGTTCTAAAATAAATTATTTTATAATGTCTGGGTAAAAAAAACAAAAACTTTTTTTTTCACCTTTCAAAACAATATATTTAATTTTTTTGAAAGATTTATAATATTTTGGGGCAGTAAACATGTCAGACTATATGATTCAAATGAATCATTGACTTCTGCTGTCTTCACTTGTTTCAAAAACACAGATTTCTTTACAATTTAAACAGCATCTTTTGATATCTTTTTCAGTGAAGATACTGTTGTCCTAAAAAACAAACAAACAAACAAACAAAAAAAGTAAATAAAAATATTACACATACCTTAGGAACGGTATTGCAAAAAATTTTGGCGGTTTTAAAACCTTGACTTTTCCAAACCATTTTTCTTGAAAACTGTTATTGTCCCATGCCTATAATTCACATCCTTTAATTTTTGATATATCCCTGTACATTTTAAGTCTAAAAAA